TACCTAAGGATCTGAAATCTGAAATATTAGAGCAGCGTCATGAAAAGCTGGGACATATAGAAACTAATAAAACCTGTGACCTAGTGGGAAGAAGTTATTAGCCTGGATTGTATAACAAAGTCGCTCTGTTCAGAGTTGTGTAGTATATCGGCACAAAGTAGAAAACAGGAGATGGTGCCATTAGAAAAGATGGATGTCCCAAATTTTCCAGCGCAGGGTCTGTTGGCAATGGCCAGTGGCATTCATTCATGTTCTGTCCCACCATTGTTGTGGGTCTATAAGAAAAACAAAGAACCCTGGTGATGAAATCCAGGATTGATATAAGATATTACCTGAAAGGAATTGAACTGCTACAAACAAGAAGAAAGAAAGCAGTAGTCCTTATTGTTGGAAAAGCGCTGAATGTCTTGTTTGGAACAGTGACTGAAGATGACTGTAGTTAAAACATCATCCTAAGACCCTGAAGACTAGACCATTAAACATTTTTACACCATAGGGTGTAGGTGGCAGCAAAAAGGTGTTACACTCTCAACTTGTATTTTTCATTATGATAAAAAGAAACTATTTTGCAGGAAAAATTTCTAAAGCATTAACACTGACATTGTTATTTTTGCATTATTTTTAGTCCCATGTTTTATTATTTAACTGGTATGTTACCTGTCAAAGTTGACAAGATTATTTATAAATAGATTGACACTTCTGCATAGCATGAACATATCCCTCTTCAGTTCCCTTACTAGTATCAGCATAGTAAAGTGTTAGAAACAAAATATATATATATATATATATATATATATATATATATATATATATGTGTGTGTGTGTATAGATGCTTGTAATCCTGTCCTTTTGCACAGATTCTATGTGAGCTTTAAATAAATAATTTAGCTTATCTTCAAAAAACAATATTTAATCAAGTTTGAAACTGCATTGCATTTATTAAAAAAGAAAAAATAGATCAAAAACTTTGTTAATCCGCTTTTTCTTACTGAGAAACATCAACATTAAATTAAGCAAATAATATTGTATTCCTCAAAAAACAAAAAACAGAAAAAATATCTAATTATTAAACATGAATTTTTATATTAAATATAAAATGGGTATATCTACAATACACACTGTTAATGCTTATTTATTGTTACTAGGTTATAAATATATATAAATATTAGTAAATATATTATTTATATTCTTTTAAAAATATCTCATAGAAATTCAAATATTTCCATGAGACATTTATCTTTTTTCACTATAATTTTCTATACGAGTCTTTTCCACATCACTGTTTAAGAGGAGCTATAGCCCTTGAATTATAGATGTTTGGTTACACAAGTAGAAAATATGTTGGGTATTCAACCTTTGAAAGAATATGAGGCAGTATATAAAACATGAAGTTTTTCAGATGGAGGATAATTGGAACTTATAGCAAGTCATTTGAATATTAGTATCAGAACATTATTAAAAAAAAATTGAAAGGAAATATCAAAAATATCAAACACCAGATCTGAGCTATAAAAACATGATACCCATATTTTTCCAACATATATTTGCCAAATGTTAGAATATCTAAAAAAAAAAAAAAAAAAAAAGTAACCACATAACGAAGAAAGAATATCAAAAACCAAATCCTAACTAGTTATATCAAAAATCAAAGAAACAAATTAGTACTTGCTTAACTATTTCTCTGTCTTATTACATGAAGTCAATGAGTATGTGAACCTTGATAAGCAATATAAGGAATGCTAATTATAAAGTTCAACAGAATCATCCAGTATTAAAAATGGTACATACATGACCATTTTTGGAAACAAAATTTACTTCCCTTGTGATGTGTCAAGAATGTTAGTACACTTACAGCAAAAAAAAAAAAAAATTCAAATTATGTACATTTATTTGTTAATTTTGTGGGCATTTTTATGACAAAGCCAAATATAGAGATGCATGGACAAATGAAGCAAAGATTATAATTCCATCTTTCATTTTCAAGCTCTTCAAACATTCTGTGTTCATTTTCTAGAAATTGAGAAATCTTTTTTTTTTAGAACTACAAAATGTAGCACTCTTCTTAACCATGTCATTTCTGGATTATATATCACGTCACAGTATTCAACACCTAACTCTTCAAGAAAAGCTTTTCTATATTTAAGTTCACTTCAGTGAAGATAGTTTATAATGGAAATTACAACAGACTTAATATTATTGAATTTCATGACATTTCCACACCTGTTGATGTGTGAGGCATTGATGGGTGAATATTCAACTCCAGAGGACTTCTTATAGAAAAGAAACGGCCCCAATATTTTTCCACACACAGAAGGAACACCACCAGTGCAAGCATACATTAAATTTATCAAATCATTTTTTTAATTTTAACACATTTTCTTATTTCATTAAAAAATATCATGTCCATTTGTGCAAACAAAGGCATACCAACATTTTTTTTCCACATATGTCAAAATGTTTATCCACTCCTCAAATAAAAAGCAGTATCTTAGCAGTCTGTATTTTTATATAATTATCGAGTGCAAATTTTGTCATAACTATAATAAATACAAAATAATCAGCACCATTAGATTCCATAGACAATAAGTCACACCAATGAGTTAAAACAGACTATTTTTGTGACCCTGTTCTTTATCCTACCACCCAATCCCTTTGAAAGTAAAGAGTGAGAGCATGGAGGCTAGGAGGTTATCAGTTATGAATAAGTTGTTTAGCTTATGACAACATCCATTACTTCTATATATCAGTGTAATTGATTTGGCTTGTGTAATGATTAAAAGAAAATGCACAATGTTGATAAATACACAATACAGAAGGATAAGGTGAAACTTGAAGGTTCAAGAGTTCAGGTTTAAAAGTTCTGGTGCATATGAGAGAGAGGGCGAGAGAGATAATCCTGGAAGGAGTAAATATATATGTATATGTATGTATCATAATGTAGTAGCCATTGCTTGACAATGTGGTGAAGGAAGGTATATTTGTTTTTAACATTTCAAAGGATGCTTTAGCCATCTAAGGTTACTAGCTCATCATGCAAATGTCCTATTTATTATGATGGACAAAATTTATCTATCAACTGGTTTTGGCTTATTTACCATCTGTTTGTATACACATCCATAGATCTGCTTGAAAAGGGCACTCTGCTTCTCATTGGCTCACAACCTTATATCCTGGTTGTGAAAGCTTTCTGATTGGTTGACTGAACTATTTTTTAGAGATGGTGAAATCTTGGTCTCCTTGTTATTATTTGTTTCTTTTCTTACATCCTAGTTGTGAAAGCTTTCTGATTGGTTGGTCAAACTATGGCTTTGTGTGTCTGGGGTTTTTAAGTATAAATCTATTTTTAGAGATGATGAAATTTTGGTCTTGTTCTTATTTATTTTTATTTATTTATTTCTATCAACACTGAAGGGGGAAAAAAGGTGTAAAGATTCTGGGAATGGGTGGTGGAAGTTTTTGAATTGGTGACTAACGAGTAAAAAAAATTCACTCATTTATTGTGATAAAAACTGGACAATTGTCAAACGGTCTTCATTATGATGAAACTATTAGGAAGTTCATAATTTTTGACATGTAGATATCAATAAGTAACAAACCAAAAAAACAAACATTTCCTTTTATGTATACAGATAAATATAAACAATTTTATAGTTCATCTGATTTTCTACACATCTGTAGTAAATTTTGGAGATGGCCCACACCAAATATTTCTGTATGCAAAGTTTGGCAAAACACAAAGGTTGGATCAAATGCTAAATGCCGATGATCTTGCCAGACCCACTTGTGAGAAAAACTAACAGAGCAACATTGGAAAAAAAATGACTGCTTTTTTGCTCGTGTCCACCAATGACTAATAATGTCATCATCTTCAAAGACACTTTTATGAATTTTTTAATGAGTTAAAAGATTTACAACAATACAAAGACAGTGAAACATTGGTTGAATAAAGTCATACTTCTACAAAACTGATTTTTTTTTTTTTTTTTTTTTTTTACACAATCACTTGCCAGAATGTATTACTATTTTCAAAACCACTCCTAGGTCACACTGGGTAGTTTCATGAGCCATATTTTGTGCAGACCTTCTCTAGTACTTGTAACAGAAATATATTCGACCCAATCAGGTTTTGCTATGCATCATCTTCCATGACACTGTAAAAGGGAAATAAAGCTATTCATCCATAATTTTTTTTTTTTTCTACCAACGTTCTACTTTTCACATTAACACTTCCATAGTGATAACAACTTTACAGTGATAATTGTTATAAAGTGATGATTGTAAGAATATTAAAAGACAATATAATTGATTTGTGGTGATATAAAAAGAAATTAAAATAAATAACAAGACTAAAATTTCACCACCTCTAAAAAATAAAAAAACAAAAAAAAAAATCCTCGAGACAGATAATAAAATTCACCAGGCAAACAAAGTCATAGTTCAACCAACTAATCAGAAAGCTTTCACAACCAAGATATAAGGTTGCAAACCAAATGAGAAGCAGAGTTTCTAAACTGGGTCTATAATTGCATATATAAACACATGGAAAATCAAGCAAAAGCAGAGCTAATAAATTTTGTCCATTCCCTGATACTGCAATCATTGTAACATACCCAATGATGAAATATGACATTTACACAACTAGCTGGCCAGCTAAACCATTCCTTGCTACATTGAAACACACACCTTCATTCACCATGTGGCCAATCAGTGACTACTACATTTGGATACAAAACATTCATAACTCCTATACATATATAATTAAATTCTTTCCCTCATTCTCTAATGTATGCATCCACAAACATAACCCCCATACTACACATATACACAAATATATTCATAAATGATACCTAGTATTTATGCTATCAAGTATGACCAAGCAGATTAGGAGTCTAGAGGTCTGTCCATCTTTTTGATGATGGAAAGCATGAATTCACCTAGAAACTAATTAACACCTCATTCTTATAACAGCTGACACACTTGATATATAAACATTAACTTACTGACTTAAACTGTTGCTCTTTATCTTCATTGTTATCACTGAAAACTTTCTTGTAGGCAGCAATTGCAGAAGAACCAGTGAAAAAAAAAGCAAATGCTTTACTCAAAACTGTGAATAGTTTGTACTGCTGGGTTTGAAAGTTTAGTATTTGCTCCTCATCCTTGCTGAAAAAGAAAAAAATTAAAATAACTGTAGAAATAAAAAATTAGGAAAAAGCAAAGTTTTAGTTTGTAAAAGTATCAAAATTCAAAAGGTTGAAGGCTTCATCATTAAATACTCAAATTAGTTTCAATACTGATCATGAAGTATTGAAAATAACTTCCCAAATGAAATTTGACACATGTTCAGTGACAACTGAGGGATGAACTGATGAGGTTCATGTTTATGTAAAGACTGTTTTGCTTCATATATTATAAAAGAAACATTCACTTAATAAAAATTAAAAGAATTTGATTAAAACATTATAAATATCTTTAAAATGACAAATTGATAATGAATGAAAACTAGTGCAATAGCTTTTCAGGTCATAATGATTAAAAAGAAATGATGTATTGGCTTTAATAAATGAGAGAAATATAGAATTAACTTCCTATATGTACCTATATCTTCTTTTTTAATGAAACACTAAAACAAGTTTTTTTCTGGGAGAGAGTGGAAGAAAAGAGCATGCCACCTCTATTATTTCAAATACTGAATAAGGTGCATATAAAAACAAACAAGATTCAAAACTCAAATGTGAAATTAGAAAGAAACAAACATTTACTATGTTGACATAAAAATAATACAACAGAATACGAGATTTACAAATAAGTTTCCACAAAATTTTCTTTTTTTTTTAAAGGCAATTCAAAAAATAGAAATATGGCTCATAAAAAAGGTATAAATTATTCAACAAACTTTCAATAATCAAAGAAATCTTGAGAGGGTGCAATACAATTTTTAATAAAAGGTTAAAAATACACATTCTTTCAAAAATTATACACTTAATTGAAAGTTAAAACTGAGAAAGTTTTGGCAGGTTCACCAGTCACCTGGGACTTAAACTAATTTGATTTTGTTTTTCTGAACACAGTTCAATTATTAATTTAAGAAATTTGTCACTTCACTGGCTTCTCTTAGGTTCTGCTTCTTTTTTTGTTTCTGTTTTTGTTTGCTTCTTACTCCTTCCATAAGAAACAGCCTAGTTAATCCATCTTATTTTTAAAAGTATGTTGAATTTTAATTTACATCATTTGTACATAGAAAAAATATGTAAATCATTTTTGGTAGAGTTGTACTGTGATCAGAAATTATCATTCTTTTTTTCAAAACTTGTTCATATTACTATAGATGAAGCACTCCAGATCATGAATATTTAAAACAAAAAATAATAATCAGTTCATATTTTACAATAGTGTAAAAAGTCATTAAAAAAACTTAAAATTGAAAAAACTAAATTACTTCTTCAATTACACATTGATGTTAAAGAATACAACCTTAATCCAGGCCATAATTGCTCAAAATGTGGATATTTGTTGGATGAAAGGTCATGCCAAAACTTTGATAACTTACCAAACTTTGAAACTAGGATCCCTAAAGATATTAAAATGTCACTTTTGTATATAGCAGGTTACATTACAAGAAAAGACTGCCCTACAGAAGAAGAAATATTTAATACTAATACAACTTTTATTTTCAAGAATATGGAAAATGTTTTGAAAAAAAAAACAGATTATGGTAATTTTAAAATTCCACAGGATGCCACAATAAAATGGATGTTTTCCTAATTTATAATATCTGGTGTCAATGAACAGAAAATTTGCAGGAATATTTTGATATTAGTTTCTGAAACACATCATTTCAATATGAAAAAAAATATATAGCATGGGATTACATTGTCAAATATATTTTTAAAAAATAAAGCAACTCGAAAACCAACACTAAAAGCTAATCTTAAAATTTTGTTCATAAAATTTTTACAACTTTTAATCAATTAGTATAAACTGACACATTATTTTTGATTTATTATTTCTCATCTAAAATGTTCCTAATTTCTAGTGAATAAAGTGAAATTTTTGTTGTGAATTTAATTGATAGAGAAGGATCATTTTGTTTGTTTTTTTGTACATTTGCGTTTATAGAAATAAGTTAATAATTGTAAGGTGCTTCTTAATAATATGTATAGTTGCTAATTAACTAATTGCTGGATATTACTAACAAGTTCATAAAAATGTTCACTGTAATTGTGATTTAGTAGTAATTTAGGTTTCTAAATGTATGCCTCTTGTCATGGACCCCAGTCGCATGGCTATCAGGCCTGTTATAGCTATCACCTTGGGTTAGACTAATGATTGCAGGGCTACTAGAACATTCTCAGTTTTCCAGATCAAAATTTCTACTTCTGAACCAAGCAAATCACTTATAAACAGTACTTTCAACTATGGTACCATCTCCATAAATGGCACATGTCTTTTTTGCTGTTTGTACAGCATTTTTCCCTTTCCAGAAATAAAAGAGAATCAAATAACAAAAATGTATCTCATTTTATGCTATTTTCACCTTTAAATATATTTAAAATTCACAATTCATGCACAAATCATACAGAAAGATACATTGAAATACCACCTTTCAGAATATGTCAAATTTCAGTTACACATGAAACAAAATCATGTGTTCAAATGCCACTTACTGAAAAACACTACAAACTTTTGTTCCAACACAATACTTGTGTGACACTATTTAGCTATGGTAATTGGCTAACTAATTAACCATGGAAATTAAAAACAGGAAAGACTTAAGGCGAGAAAGTGCTATATTGAAAGATAGACTGAGCAACGTTAAAAAGAAGATTTTATTTTTATTTAAAAAAAAAGGATACTTTTCGCACAAGACAGAAAATCCATAAGAAAAAGCAAGATATGAGATTCTGTCAAAAGTGATTAATGTCATGGTAAGGGAATGTCGCGCCAAGGGAAACGGAATTCAGAAAGAAAAACAAAGCTGGCCGACACATGGCGGTCATAAAAAAATTTCAGCTTGAGACGACCATGATACAGGCAGAGAGAATCGATATTAGTTATCTTTCAGAGATATCATTTAATTTTGATTCCTAGGTTCAACGAAGGGAAATCATCTGGTATGTGTTAGAATTTTGGCATGAGGAAGAAAATTGTGGAGGAAATTATTATTATTACTTTTTCAAACTGTTGATGTCAGACACAGCGTCGTTGAAAATGGGCATCTGGTGATAAGAGGATTTTAAGGCATAAAAAAAATAAAGAATTTGATTTTCAGGTAAAATACAGAACCCCCCGGTTAAAAGTTGACTTAGCAGAGAAGCCAGATGTCAGGTTTTGACAGTGATTGATGAGTCGGTAGAGAGACCTGACTAAGTGAATTTTGGGTGTCCCCAAAAGAAAGATGTGATAAGAATTATTTTGCAATCTGGGGTTTGTAAAAAAAAAATGTTTTGGCCGATGGGAAAAAGAAAAAAAAAGGATTTTTTGTAAACAAAATTCTGGATAATAATTTTAAGAGGGCCAGTCTAGCCACACCCACACTGCCGAGAGATCATTGGTCAAATTGTAGCATGGGTGATAGGCGGAGGTGAATGTATGAGAAAGGTGGAGAAGTTGTTCCAACTGAGGGGATTGGCATGAGATACCAATGTGAGAGAGGAAGAGTCTAGGAGGATAACTCACCTCTGACCTTTCCTCACGGACAAGGGAGAAACCCCCGAAATGGAAAGTGATTAATCTTCCAAAAATGGGAAGTAATTAATTTTCCTAGTCTAAGAACAAAGAGAATTCTTGTTGGGAATCGAGAATTATCGAGGAACCCAAACCACGTCTGGCCCCACACTGGGTTTTGGTCAGTGCCCATATAAACGAATGTCCCTGGGCAGTTTAGCAGTTGGAGTTTAGTTCCAGACAGAGTCAGAGTGTTGCCTTGCAGAAGCTGACCGAGAGATTCCACATCCTTTCAAATTTGCCTTCCTACCAAAAGCAAGTTAGATTGATGAAAGGCTTAAGATACCAAAACTTGCTTAAGAAATGCAAAAGTGTTATAAATCCATAGAAACGGGGTGGGAGAGAAACACACTCCTGTATATAACAGACGGATAAAGATAATTTGTTATTTCAACATATTTGAACCTCTTGAGTTTTGTTTTATTGTTTCTTTTACTTATGCTTGTGCGATATCACCTTCACCCCGGATTCAGCTTGCACTAGGGCTAGACGCTTGATTGATTTCATCTACTTAAGATCAAAGTCGCAACATGGGTAGGTTAAACTTGAGATCAAAGTAGTTACTTCAGTAACCAGACGTTGGTATCGAACCGGGAACGACCAGCTCGATTGGGACACAGGCTGGTGGCAGCGACAAAGAGTCAACCCCAAAATGCTGGTGGAGAAAACCTTACAGCTTTGCGCCGCAACTGGGAGTTGACCATGGGCCAACAGCGCAGTGTCACATATTAGCGTCGCAACCAGAGGACATCACATATTGTCGCTGTGACCACCAGAGGGTGTCACACTTGTAATATTCTTTATGAGAATATAAGGAGAATATCAGAACAAATACAAAGGTTTTGCTAGCATTATACTAGAGTTAGTCCCACAAGAGAGAAGAGTTTGACAAAAAAAAAAAAAAAGTATATACAATATTCCATGCATATGTAAAATTCTGAAAGAATGAAATCAGTAAAAACTAAAAACAAACATCAGAGATGAAGTTCAGAAATCTGGTTTAGCTGGAGAGGGTAAGATACACATTATCCCATCCAGAGATTTGACAGAGAGGATCACCCTCTATTCCATACACTTGAAGAGGTTTGGCTTGGTTTGTTTTGTTTTACGGCATATAAACCTCAATGGGTTATTTAATGCTAACAATTTCTGTTGTTGGTTATTTTCCCTTCAAAAACATCTATTTCTGGTAATATTTTCCCTTCAAAAACATCTATTTCTGGTAATAATTTTCCTTCAAATAATTATACCTGGTAATATTTTTTTTTAAAAATGTATTGCTGGAATTAAAACCTATTTTTACACGTTTTAACCTGCTTGGACCATAACATGGACCTGGGAACACCAGCAATTAAGAGGTGGTTCCATACCCCTCAAAACATCCTGATCAGAGGCCTTGCTTTTGGATGTAGTTTACCCAGGATGTAACTTGAAGAGGACTGTCATCTGAGTGTGAATAACATCAATAACACTAAGAAGAGGTTAGATTGTCTCACCAAAAATTGATAAGGATTCTTGTCAAACATATCTACAATAAGAAGTATGTTGGTTATTTTCTGTATTGATATGGGCTTTATGATGTGCAACATATATATATATATATATATGACTATAAAGAAATATGTGGTTCAGTTTCAACATTAATATGGGCTTTTTGAATAATAAATGACTATAAAAAAAACTATCAGTCCTGAAAATGAAACCATGAATTTAAAAAACAAAAAAAAACAAATGGTAAGTTTACATTCTACTTTGAGTTTTTGTTAAAGGATAGTTTAAGTTTCTATAATATTTTTAAATGCAAAAAAATTGGAAGAAATATAAAAATTACTTACTTTGGATATAATACTGTTTGTCTCCGAACAGCACTATAACGTATAGCTATGGTAACTGCAGAAGCAAGCTTATGGTAAGTGTCAAGGATTATCACAGCTCTTACATACATCATAGAACCATAGAAAACTTTGTTATTCTCATTGGCAATATAGGTACCATCCTTTTGTAACTGAATGAAAATTAAATTTAAATGAATTGATTTTGTTTTGAACAAAAAAATTGATGTCATATCATATATTTTTAGAAAATATATTTTTATATGCATTTTATTTAGAAAATTGAACTCATTCTTTGTATTTTTCATGTGCTATCACAATATTTTGGCCCATCCATTCTAAAGGAATCTCTCTCTCCTTAAATTTATAGACATGAAGAAAGTTGGAAAATAGAATTTTTTTTTATGGCATTAATAATGTTTAGTCCAGACATATTTTGCAATGTTAACGACTTCTCAAAATTATAGAAAACATATATTTACGTTTCTTCCAAAAGATATAACAAACAAAAGACAAATACAAAAAAAAGTTTAGGGTATAGATTTAAAAGGTGATGGCAATATGTACTAATAAAATTAAAAGAGTGACATGCTTGTCATATTTGGTCAAGAGGCAAACAGAGAGAGAGAGAGATATAAAGACTAAGACAGAAAGAGAGAAAGGGACATAAAGAGATAAAAAGACAATGTGACAGAGAGTGATCGGTTGGGTTATCTTAGATATAGATAGTTGTCATGAGTGATTAAATCATGTTTCATGACCTAATGATCAGCTGAGGACAAATTTATCTCTGAACTGCAAGTAACCTTTTGAAATTAAAATCAGAGAGAAAGATTACCTTTTTAAGAGAGAGTAATTTTTCTAACAATTATCTAGAAATAGTCATGGATTGAAAAGTACAGAGTGCAGCATTAAAAAATTTTTTAGTATATCCATGTAATTCAAATGGGTCATGCTAGTTATTAATATTGTCATGCATTAAAAGTTAGAGGAATTAAAACAATATTTTTGTTTCAATTAATATACTGAATTAAAGAATAAACAAAAATATTTGTAATTATAGACATTAATTGATGTCTATAATAATGATTTGCTTACTGTCAAATCATGCTAAAATATCAATATTCATCCAATCAATAAAACCCACTAAGCTTCATCAGTATGATTGATTAGTTAGCAACACCGTAAGCACAATAAGTAACTTGTAGCCTTGTCTCAGGTTATGAAAAGCTAAGCAAATAACTGATAATAATTAATTTGATATATTTTTCCCCTTTTTAAAAAAATATTTCCTTTGAATATAAAAATGCTTAAAAGTTTAAACTGATATATTACTTTTAAAGAAAAAATTTTATAATCACTTCTGCTAAAATTTCAATGTTACATCTTGTGTAATTCAAACAACAAAATGTGACAGTTTTGTATTGTTACCTAAAGAATCTGGAATTTTTATAACTAATTTATAAATGAAAAAAATCCATTATATTTTTTCATTATATTATTTTTCAGCCAATAAAATCCCATCAGGTTTGTTTGATAAACAATAAGGGCAAATACTGTTAAAATATTTCGTGGACACAGTTGTAGACTAACCACTTGCTATTTTTGGACCATTTACAAAATAACAATAACTCCCTTCACCACTCCCACAAATTCGAATAAAAGATTTTTTGCAAGACAGTGTGAAATTATTTTCTAACCAATTCAAAAAAAGTTTACATCTCTATGTAAAACTGGATTTTGGATCCTTTTTACATATATAAAAATAGAAGCATACTGTTTCTCAGAGTTCAAAACAAATTTGAAGACCAGTTTGATCTACAAGTACACACACAATAGAAGATGATAGCCAGAAGCCACTGACTAAGGCCTTGCCTACACAATGACAGACACATTAGGCTGACCATCATAAAGTACATCTGTCCACACATCACATTAAGAACACTTAATTACTTGAACTTCAATGCAAGGAAAATTGAATATTTTGATGTTATTGTATATTTCTGAAAAAAATATATAAATGTTATTTCAACTGATGTTTTGCTTCTACTTTTCCTTCAGAGAATAACATTTTACGTTTCATTTAAAAAATGTGTTGTTGTTAAATGTTTGGAATCCTGACACTCAAATAAAAACAAAAACCTGGGTAGTTTCAACAAATTCATCTCTACTAATTTATAGTTAAGTATTTCTATATCCAAATTAATCCAGGTCCACATCAGTAGCAGTAATAGCTTTTCAGCCAATCAAAAAAATCTGCATGTTTTATAATTGGCCCTGATTTTGAAGGCAAGCAGATTCTTCCAATTTCCTCTGAACCAAGCAAATTAGGAAATAATAATAATTCGTCCCAACAGTATTCAATATACCAGCCAATAATTGTTTTCTTAATATTCCCTGCTAGAATGAGTGAGCAGTATAGTAAGGGGAAAATAATAACTCCCTTTACCCACTCACTTTAAATTCAGAGGACTGTGGAAAAAGAAAGAAATTTGTGAGCCTTTAGATCACTGAAAAACTTGCTTAAAATTAGCTGAAAAGAAAGTAGCAAACCCATGAAAAATTATTTTTGATATAAAATGAGAAAAATTAAATTAACAAAAAGAGTGAAATGGCTCGTTTCTGTTCACCACATCCAACGTTGAAGTTTTCGCCAGTGTAAAATTACTCATCAATTATATTATCGGCTTTTAACCAAGCACATGGCACTTCAAAGAATTTTCTTTCAACAATGCAAGAAAGCAAAGTATTTGAAACTATCTCAATTCACCTACTTTTGAACATATGCAACTTTATATACCTTCTGTAAGAAACAAATTCTCTTACCTTTGTTTTAAACATTTAATATTATTTTATGTCAGATCATTTAATCTGTTGTATGAACATTTACTCTTTATGAAACTTCTTTAAAACTATGGACTTTAAAAATTTCCAATTTATTTTCCTGAAATGAAATACTGTCACCACTTCAAGCTTGTAAATTCATAAATAGATTCCTTATCTTGTTTTGTTCAAATTTATCCATGTGTTTCCTAGTCATTATCATCCTCCTTCTTCTTGGAATGGGAAAATCAACTGTACATTTTAATCCCTATGCCCCACGCCACTATAAACGTATCTTACATGTGATTATTTGTGAAATGGCAACACCTTTTTTCTTTTTTGTTAAAATATGAAAAAAATATTTCTTAGCTAAATGAACAAATATTAAGTAAATCCATATTTACTTACCTGACAATGTTTCATTAATAGATGGTTATGTGGAATACGTACATGGTCTACATAAAGAAAGCCATTATCAATTACATTTAGAGCCATTTTAGGACCAATATCTCCAAGTGTCACTCCTAAAGATGAAAACAATAGAAAATAAAACCTCTATGGTCATCTTTGAACTTATGAAATTGGCTTTACTAAAAGATCGATTTTAATTTTAAACACAAACTTTTGAAGAAAGATTTTTTAAGATTAAAAAAATAAACCTAGGCCTAGGGATTTTTAGTCAGGATGACAAGACCTATGTTTTCTTATTAGATTTAACTTAACATGAGATTTCAAATTTTAGTTTTAATTTTAACTTTTTTATAATATATTATCAATTATATGATTTTTTGATAATTATCTAATTTATAAACAAAATATTTATTAATATTTTAAAAATGTCTGTTTGTGATCCATAAAATTCTCAATCTTAACACTGGGATTGATAAAGATTAACAAGTATAAAAATGTTCAGGTAATATTTATTACCCATCCTATTTTCTCTTCTATTTGTAAGGATGTCCTTCCCCCACATCATGTTAATTCAGTGATTTATAAATATAAGTGTAGTTGTGGACTTGACTACATAGGGAGGATGTCTCAACATTTGGATCTGAGAATAAAGCAACACTTACCCCTCCCCTAGGATTTTGAATCTGGATGCCAAGAAAAGTCATCTAATTAATGTTTATGGCCTTTCTATTGCAGAGCATGTTAAAAATAGCAGGAATTGTGTCTTTGATTTTAAGGTGGACTGTTTTTCTATTTTATCGAGGTCCCACTCCTTAATATCACCTCAAGGTTCTAGAGTCCTTATATATCAGATCCTGTGGGCCTTCCCTCTGTAAACAAAGGGAATGCTTACTGGGTCTGAATGTTATTGGACTCTAGCTTTCTTGAAATTCATTTTTTTTTTCCCCTCCATTGGTTATCATTAATATCAATTAAATTTACACGTTTACTTTTTATATCCCAGAAATAAACTTGATAAGGCTTGGACAAAACCAGTTGTTTTTTTTTTAGTTTTTAAAATATACATTAAAATGCCATATAAATTATGCTTATTCTTAGCTATCCTTAAATTTTGTACTACAAAAAACTTATATAAAAATAATTGGTCACATCAAGTGAATTCGACACAGATATTCTGTGATTCTCATTAAAAATATTCGTCTGCACCATAACAACAGAATTAATATAATTAAGTTTAAAGTTCAAACTAGCAAGAGTTAATTAGAAAATTAGAGTGATGGTATGCTACCACAAGGTATTCAATAAATAGATTAGGATTCTGTGATAAATATGTGAAAACTCCTCAGCCACACCCACTTCCCAAAATCTGACCAAATATCAAAATACGGTTAGGCCAAGAACTTTTCAACACACACTTGTGCATGTGTACATACACTGTGTATCATGGCAACAACATATTTATTCAAACAAATTTTTATGAAACTAATAATCAAGTTATTTTTTTCTTATTGACGGATTCATTTCTGTAGGTGTTGTAGGTATAGAGCAGGGGTACACAAAGTGGTTGATATCAACCCCTGGAGGGTTAGTAAAACTACCTAGAGGATCAATAAATGCTTAGAAGTCCAAAAGAGGCTCCATAATTGGTTAAATTTTGTAAAACAAAATGTTAATTTTTGTGTTCGTAAAACAAAATGTTAATTTTTGTGTTCTTAATACACTATATTCTTAATTCTGAAGGTACAATTGGTTGGTATATCTTTTATAATTATAAATAAGTAAATTTCACTAATAGGTTGTTCTGATATTCCTTTTATTTTTTGTTTTAGACACTAGATTATGACAATGCTATACATCTATAATAACTACATCTGATGACAATAGTATACATCTATAGTAACTAGACTCTGACAATGGTATGCATTTCTAGTAACTAGTATGAGAAATTAAATAAGAAATAGATAAAACAGAACCTGGTAATGGCTTGTGATCTTCTAGACTTCGAATTTGTACAATAAAAGGATGAATTCCATGACATTTTCCCTGGGTATATAATTGAGCCATCAAAATACAATGTGTGGCATTCATCCCCACTACAAAAAAGGAAAATAATTCAATCAGAAAACTTATTTGAATATTAAATCTAAAGAATGTTTAACCTGATTAGAAGTAACTAATTTAGCTAAGTAAAATAATTTCTAGTAAAATAGACTGAGATATTTAGTTTGTTATGAAGTTAAAAAAAAAAAAAAAAAATTAAAAAAAAAAGAAGAAAAAAGATTGTTTTGTTCTCACAACCTGAAAATATTTCCAAACAAAAATTTTCAGGATTACACAATTTTTACAGGTATTTTAAATGTAAAAAAAACTCCAAACTACAGAAAGTAGTGTCTCTGTGACTGCAGTAATTATTGCCCCAAGGAATGATGCTATCAAAGAAATAAATTGAAGATGTTGAAGTTCAGTTGTACAAGTCATTTCAAACAATTCTGAACCCTTCTGTTCTGTTCAGAACCTAAGTGATTTCCCTAAACCTCTAGAGCTATACCGTGTTCCTCCTGACAGTTGGAAGCTTATAATGCTTCTCAGAAATCTCAACTCTCCAAAGTCATGCAATGAAACTCACCTAGCTGCCAAAGACTCTCTTCCCAAATGTAATGAGAAATAATGTTGAATTAAAATTCCTTAGAAATTACTTAGCTTGCATTTTGGAGATAAAAATAAATTTAGCAGATAAAAAGACCTTAATGAGAGATGTGCTTTCCTCATAGGAGTAACTGAACCTTTTTTTGCTGTGAAGTTCTTTGTAGCTCAGAGGTCTAAAAGCATGCTGTGGTTTCCTCTATATAAGGGGAATGCAAGTTCAAACCCTGTCAAAGAGCATATTTTCTTTATTAAAGACTCTCAAAAACCCAGGTCAATAGATTATTCTGTTTAAAGAACAGATGTCTATTCAAATATATGTATCCACTAAATATAATATTTATAATAATGAAAAATACAGTATTGTACAATTCTTTGGTCACTTTAAACATTGTTATAAATTTCTAATAATAAATGGAACTTATGGAGTCATTTCTATACCTAATTATCATATTTCAGGGATCCTGAATGAGAGATGAAGATACAAGACGATTTCCCCCAAAATAATCGTGATAGTATTTTTATACCACCGGGCACACATTAATCCAAACTCCTCCTCTGATTTATGATAGTTAAAATATATTTACAAATTTTTTTTGTCTTCAATGTTGCACATGTTTTTGTCCATGTAAGCAGTTTCTTTTCCAACAAAATATCCACCAGCTCGGTGCACGCATTATGACTTCGTTTGGTCGAATTAATGAGTTTTTACCAGCACAGGGAGACTGGAGTACTACACAGAGAGACTTGTGTATTACTTCAAGGCTAACGGCATTACAGATGCAAACAAAAAGAAAGCAGTGCTGCTCTCAGTATGGGGAATGGAGACATTCTCCTTATTAAAGGACCTCATCACACCTGATAGCTTACAGGGAAAACATTTTGTAGTTGTTGGTGTTGTTGCAATCCGCGACGTCTGACCAAACTTTCTGAACAAAACACAATATTTTCTTGATCCGCCTGGTGTAAAACCACAATGACTCATCAACTGCTTCAAATCTCTAACTGCCCAGACGCCGGCGTTCAGCGTTTTTTATGTTATTTTCTGCCTTCCTTCATTTGCATGCGTGAATCGACTTTCCGTGGCTTTACGAGACTGTCCACATGAGGATACGTGACCATTCGCAATATAAGCTTGCTGGGGGTGGCCATGTTTCTTTTTCTGGTCAAGAAGATAAATCTTGCATGCATAACATATACGCTGCCATTTGCGATCAGGTGGGAGTATATTTTCGTTCCAATTATCACTACACATTTGACAAGCTATCACAAGCATTAGAGGAACATTATAATCCAGCACTCTCTGTTATTGTCGAATGATTCAACTTTTACATGTGCCAACAACAACCAAACCAGACCATCTCAGACTTTATCGTCCACCTGAAAAAACAATCAAATTTCTGCAAATTCAATCCCACTATCCAGGATATGTTGAGGGACTTGCTGGTTGTAGGTGTTGCAGATAACCATATCTGCAGACATTTATAGGCAGAAAAGAAGTTGAATTTTGACCAGGCTAGACAAATAGCCCTAGCAATAAAAAGTGCTGACAAGAATGTTCCCGACATAGCAGCCTGTTCCAACACCACTGCACCCACAGGTTGTTGGTCTTTGTAGTGCTACTATTTGTCCTTTTTGAAGGGGGTTTAAAGTGTGTGCTGTTCTGTTGTATAAGCTCTATGAGACGAAGCGTTCCACGGACAGACTTATCTCACGATTTTGGGCTGCGGTTATCCAATTCGCGTGTGGCTTATAGAGTGTGGGGTGGGATGGTATGTAGTCACGTAGTCGGCGGTGGAGTAGGATTGTACCAGTTCAATCACCTCAGTTTTGGGGTCAAGTCTGCTCCTGGCATATATCAATGTTGCATGGACAACTTTTTCACAAGGGAACCACACGTTGTAAGTTATCAAGATGTCATTCTGATAACAGGATCATCGAACCTGTTGTCATTTGCACCGAATGTTGCTAATAGGGTTGTTGATTTGACCCAGTCATCCATGTTGTCAGACTCTATGATGTCTGATTGAGAGGGTTCAGCAGTGAATACATTTAGGAGTGCCTGTGAGATGTCTGCTGGGTTATTTAGAGACAGCATCGGAGGCTCTGTGCCATTTCCCAGGGCAGTGCTGAATGGTGAATCTGTACCTGAGGGTTTTCTCCTTTAACCTGAATAATCGGGGTTTTGGATTTTACTAAAGGTCTCTATCTCCGAATAATCCTTTTAGTGGTTCATGATCTGTAACCACTATGAGATTCGGGCAACCCATTACAAAATCTGACATTTTTCCAATGCCCACATAATTGCTGCTGCTTCGCCTTCAATAGGTGTATATCTGCGTTCAGCATCAATGCAGAATCTGCTACCAGCAAATATCAGGCGTAACCTTCAGGGCAGCAAACTGGGGCTTTGTCAGTGGTGCATGAGCAATACTTCTGCAGAAGTAGGGAAGCCCATTCCGTTTGCTCCAATCTGGGCAAGGCAGGTTATTCGTTCTTTTGAAATGTTGGCGATGCCTTTTCGGACTAAGTCAACTATGACCTTCTTTGAATGCTGGAATGCATCCCCAAGGCTTTTATTCCATGTAAAGTGTGAGTCTCGTTTTATGAGATCATGAAATGGAAGCATGACTGGGCTTAGTGAGTATGCCCAAACGACTTGGTTGACCAGCCCAAATCATGATCTGGCATCGGTGAGTGTTTTTTGGTATTGGGAAGCTTAATATTGTTTCCAGCATGGATTTAGAAGGGTTACACCAGAAGATATTATTGGAGGCCCCAAACTGCACCGTGTCTTGGCAAAATTGGAATTTTTTCTATTTATTACGATACCGTTTTTGCACAATGGAGGAGAAAATCGAAGGTGTGAAAAAGGCCCTTCCGATGTCAGAGTCATAGAGTAGGGTGTCATCCACGATTTTTACTTATGGGGGATGTCTTTATTACTTCATCATACCTTCAGGTGTAGGCATCGCCAGATGCTAGGTAACCTTGTGGCATTCTCAGGTACATGAACCTTCCCATTCTGTGATGAAGGTGGTGAGTGGCTGGGACTTTTTATCTAAGGGGATGGAGTGATATCCATCAACAGCATCCAACACTGTTTTCTTTTTGTTTAGGTGGCACTTGTAGTGCTAGCTGGAATGGTGACCCTGTATGGTGTGTTTTCCATTTGCACTGTGAATTCAAGTGTTGGTAGTCTATGGTTCTTCTTCGTGGTTTGCCATTTTTCTTGGCGGTAATTACTATAGTGCTACACCCATCCAGTGGGCATGCCGATGGGTACTGGTTATGATACCCCTTTTCACATCTTCCCAAAGGGCCTGTCTTACAGGCTCTTTGAAGTGAAAAGGCACAGGAATTGGGTTATGTCTGGCTTTGGGGACTGCTCCTTCTTTGGGGTGTATATGTGCAGTGGGGCCAGACAGCAGTGGAATTCACCATTGTTCTTGAGCGCCTGTTTCGCAAATTGATTTAATAGCCAATTCTTGAGCCTATCAATGTTTTGTTCTGTTGGGGGATAAGGGAGTTTTTTGGGGCGTGTTGGAAGTTGTCCCTCGACTTTGCATTGTTTAGGCTCCGTCCGATTTTTTATGTGTGCTTGTCGAGGGCATGTGTTGCATTGTTGTTTGGGGTAATATTGTAGTTGTTGGCTTCGGGAAGTCTTTGGACAGTATCCCTACATCAATGCAGGCTGCTTTGCTGAAGTATAGCCGCTGAATCTTTTTTGCATATGTATAGGGCTTGTCTAGTTCTTCCTTGGACGCTGAATTCACGGGAGCCAACCCTGACATACAAGCGTAAAGCCTCCCACAGCTCGGACGACTTTTCTTGATGGAATGAGGTTGTTGATAGTGAGCCCCATATTCAGAAGGTGCTTAAGTCCCCGAGACATATGGTGGCCCCACTGTCAGGAAATATTGTCATCCTAGTGCTGTGATTTCTGGGGATATTCTTAATTTGTCTGGGATCCGGTTTTGGCGAGAATGGAACAACATATGCATCAATTTCCCTTACCTGGCCTGTGTCTTTAGATGTATAACGTGCCTGTCGTTTGATTGAATGTGATGTGGGCGATAAGTGTGTGTCCATGGCTTCATTAGCCTCTAGGGCTTTTCCTGACCACTTTGAGCCAGTTTCTTAGCCCGGCATACCCTCGATAGGTGATTGGGCTTCCCACAATTACTACATGTTTTTCCCCATGCTGGGCATTTTAGCGGCGTGATCCAGTTCCTGAGGTGCCATGCTGGTGGCTGCCACAACCTAAGCAAGCCTGGTGGTTTGGTTTAACATTGCAGCTGCAATAGGTGCTGGTACGGATCGCCTCGTTGGCTTGTGGTGTACCCTTCTGTCTGCGGTATGTTGATAGGCGAGCAGCAGTTGTATCTGAAGCGCCCGACCATTGAGGTTTGGTCCGTAAT